TCTTCACAATTTTTGTTCGATTTTTATGACAACGGCTACAAAAATCAACTATAAAATCACGTCCAAATCTGAAATTTGCAATCTCTCACTCATCCTACCATTCACCTACAATTTCTATGTTGTTCTTGTGATAACCGCGTTTTTCGGTTATAAAGTTTGAGGTTGTTTATGATTATTGGTGGTAAGTTAAGGGGGTTGTTTTGGTTATATGCTTAAATGTTTTAAAACACTTCCACCGCCTTAATTGTTTATATGGTTTAATAGAGATATATGTGTTATCTCTTGGGAGGTTAGTGAAAAAGCAAGTAACAAGGAAAGAAGAAAAGAAGGTCTTCTGTGTGATTTTGAAACATAAGCAAGAGTAGAAGTTGTTTTCTGTGAACTTTTGTTTAGATATTTGTTGATATTTTCCTGTTCATATCATCTACGTGATTCATAAGGTAAGTTATGTACAACTTTCCTTATTTGGTAATTTGGAAGTTTGAACCGTATGGTTCTATATATGAGTTGCCGATTATAAAATGTTTTGATGTTAAAATTAGCAATTGTAGGTTTTTGTTATGATTATATCATTGTTGGAATAAGAGTGACATGTCAAGGAGAGGAGTATTTTAGTTGTAAGGGTGACATATCAAGGAGAGATATATACCAGGATAAGGGTGGTAAAATCATGAGTTATAGAATCTGGGTTTTGATCAACATTCATAATTATCGCATTCTTATGATGCGATAACTTAAAGTTGTCGCATCCTATTGATGCGATGAAGTGTGGTTATCGTACCAGTGTGATGCGAGGAATGATTTTTGCCGCATCCTTGTGATGCGACAAGTTGATTTGTCTCATCCATATAATGCGACAAGTTGGGTTTATCGCGTATGTTGTGATGAGTTGATGTTCTCACACCCTTGTGTTGCGAGGAGATGGGTTGTCTTCTCATGTGATATGAGAAAATTATACATTTTTCTATGTAATGTGATAAGTTTACTTAGAATGTGTTTATAAAGTAATGTGATTATTTTGATGCGATAAATGAGGTTTTTTTATATCAAATAAATGTATATTTGTTATTTTACAAATGTGAGTTCAAAAATGTGATTCGGTGATTATTCACCATTTAATTGCATCAAAGAGATTTCTCACTAGATCTTAAGGTCTAACCCTCATTTTGTGTTTTTTCTTTTAAATGTGCATTACAGGTCGGACACAACTAGAGGACAAGAGGAAGGAGAAATTGTGAAGTGTTATATTATGCTTGCATAGATTATTGAGTTAGCATAATCTTCTTTTGTATCTGAATACTTGATATACATTCATGCGTTGTATAGAGTTTTTGTGGAAAAAGTTGTTAACTATTTTGTAATATAGCTTTTGTAGAGAGTTTGGGACCGATTGTGTAAATTATATTTATTGATATATGAAAATATATGTTATATGCATATATGATGTTGAGGTGTTACAGTTTTGCATCTCAATTTAGTCTGCTATCTTTTACATTTACGTTCCAAACGAGTTTAGCTTGGACTTGGATATCTCAAAACCACCGACAAGTTTAATATTAATATATGGTATAAACTTCATATTTTGTTTTTATTTATCGATCTATGGTTTTAATACAGATGAAACAGGGCTTCCAAAATGATTGGAACGGCCATGCATGTGTGTGCATGCGCACACACACATATATGTGACAACAATATATTTTTATATATTTAAAAAAACATATTTTTGATGATAATATGCATATACACACTAATTATGTACCCGTATGAAGTAGTGGAATGTAAACACTAAAGTAAACATTTGATGAAAAATTGGTGTAAGTTCTCGTTAAATTAATATAAATTTGTGAATCAACAAGAAACAACTTTAAAACAAAGACGGACCTACAGTGGTGCCAAAAGTGGCACGTGCCACTGTATTATTTATCCGTCGAAGGGTAAAAAAATTTAGCTTCGTGAAAGATGCAACCGTATTAATTTGTTGTGTGTCACCGCATGTATTTTGAAACTACAATGTGAACAAGTTTTCTTTGGTAGAGTTGGTTTGCAAAACTCTTATTCCACCCCAGACCCAAGTTCTAATCCTATTAGTGTCATTTTTTTAGTCAAATAGTGTTACAATTTGAAATTGTTTCCTATATATTTGTTTCTTATAGCCAAATGATGCCACCGTTTGAAAAAATTTATGGGTCCGTCCCTGCTTTACATTCATATGTAATAATACTCATTTGTATACTATGTACATGATAAGATACACAAAACTTAATCTATATACTTGTATTTAAAAACTCTTCATGATTTTAATAGAAATTGTTTAAATGTTTAATTCATCTGTGTTTACAACTATTATATGATAAAAAATCTCCAGTAACTATTTGGCAATACGTCATTTTAATACTCTTGTCACGTTCTGTCCAACTTATAACAAAATATACAGAAAACTTGTCAAGTCTTATCCTAGTCGTAACAAACACTAAACAAACAACTAGAGGTGTTTAACCAAACCGTCTACACTGCACCGCGAAGCACGATTAAGAATATCCACGGTGCGGTTTGCATTTTGCATTTTTACCAAACTGCACTGTGCGGCTTGCAGTTTTGAGTTATCAAACCACGGTTCAAACCATGTGAGACTGCATATTATATATATATATATATATATATATATTTTTTAATTACATACTAGTTGTGTACCCGTGCAATGAGGTGAGAGTCGTGAATTTTAACGATTTTGAAGTTTCATTGGTTTTATTAGAGAAGATTTAACGATGATATAAGTTACACTTGGTCTTTACATATTAATACAGTTTGAATAAATAAAAGGTATGGTTCCAATTACAGTCTATCGATGAAAAAAATTGTATGACAGTTTAAAATCCAATATATTTAAAATCCAATATATTTAAAATCCAACATATTTAAACGACTTCACAAATGTGTTCGATTTATACCAAGAGCGCGAGAGCGAGACCGAGAGTTCTAGAGCAATTGAATGGGAACTGAATGAGAGAACTTTTAATAACTCACGATGAATATCAGTTTGAATCTCACCTTGAGGGATGAGGACAAGACATAGAGGTATGAGAGGGTGAAGGCACGAGTGAAAGGTGTCAAAGGTATCTTGGGAACATGAAAATAAAAAGTAATAATGTGCTTTGGTAACTTGTACTATATGTTATTTTAATTGTAGATTACAAGATTTTACGATTGAATACATAAAATAGTAGTACTTAACGAATTATGAGTTGTTTTAAGATTTTTAAGACTTTGTACGTAAATGTATAGTACTTTGTGCATTAAAAATTGTTTTTAGAATTTTTGACAAATCTGGTTTATAAGGTAATATAAATATACACATATTATATATAATAATTATTAATTTATATGATATTTTTAGACATTGTGTTTTGAAGTTCATTTATTTTTTAATTCTTATTTTTAATTATGCAATATGTACTTGAGGATCAGATATAATGAAACTTTTATTAATTTTGGAGTACGGTCACATTATCGTTGATATTATAATGTATTTTCAAACTTATAATTGTAGGCGTAAAGTATGATAGGTACAAACCACATAAACCATGCAATGCGATTTTTTGTGATTCGAGGGTTATGCACTGCTCGGATCTGCTCTATGATTGAAAGCTACATCGTTAACCCACTTTGCCCTTCGACCCAAGCTCATGTCGCCTAACGTATTGTCGACCTTCACCTGAACCACCACATAAACATGACCTAAAGAAGCTAGTCGACAAACCATGACGTCAAGCTCGGATTTCACTCACTTTTATCCCATTTAGCTTGTTTCTCTGGCTAAATCTAACATGCATATCCACATTTTGACATAAAAATCGGTCATCATCTCAAATTATCATCATCAATACCCACATCAGTAGACGGATCTTCTTTTGGTTCGTAAAGAGCTTAACAAATACCATGTTTACGAAGATGTTATTAAGACATGGGTTTAGTGTCGTGGTGGTGGACATCTTTGCTTTTTATAAGTATATAATATTTATGTACGGCAAAGAACTCACACACTGCTCATCGCTTGAACCTTAATCTCCAAGAAGGTTAGGATCTACTGGTAATCTGGATACAGCTAGCAGGATTAATAGATGAGTTAACCGAACCATTTACAATTGAAATCAAAGATTTCCCGGTTTCTATATTAGAATACCAGTCTTACGTAACAAAAGAAAACGGCCAAAAGTTCCTAAGTTTTAATCTGAAATCATCGGTGTTTGTATCAGAAGACGGGTTTAAACTAACAACAGATATACGCCCAAAGATGTCGTATGTTCATCTAGATTCAATGATATGATTGCATTTGCATCCCAAGGGAAGACCAATCTAGACTAACACCATAACATACCCAAAAGCTCAAAGTTCGATCCAAGATCAGCATTTTGATATCAGAAGACAGATTTTCAGCTAGCAACAAGGGACCCAAAATGTGAAATTGTGATCTAAATCAATGGTTAACTGTACCCCCAGTAAGATCCAAATTTGATTTGAAAACTGCTAACCAGTTTAAGCCAGCAACTGATCTACAATCAATGACCAACAGTTGTAATAGAAGTAGACTCGTTTACACGAAACACGAAACACCCAAAAAGATGCATTCTTGTCTAGAATCTGTGATCAACGATATGCTTCTATGCCAGTTTTAAATCAGAAGACCGGTTTCAACTAACGCCACAAAACCCCCAAAAGGTCCAAGATTGATCCTAAATCGCGGATTTTTATATGAAAAAGTCAGTATATGCTAACAACACAAAGCTTCAAAAAGATGAAGCCATGATTGTACATTTGTACAGACAACACAAAACACCTAACAAAGTTGCCATTTCATCTAGAATCAGTGACCGAGAATATGCTTGTATCCCAAAATCCTAAATTTGAAAAAACCAGTTTACATCCAATTTTTGGTGATCAACAATATGCTTGCATCCAATTTCTAAAGTCAGTTAATCAACAATATGAAACAACCAACAAATTAAGTGATCATCTAAAATCAATGATCAAGAATTTCTCATAGGAAAAGACCAGTAAAGAAATCTTGAAACTGTAAATCTCAGCATTTTGATTCAGTTCATGTGGCATTAAAATTTTACAAAATTCTACAGAATAACACTGAAATTCAATTGAAATTCAAAAACTTTGCAGGAAAAAAGCTTACAGATTTGTAACATCAGAGCCCTCATTTTCATTGCCCTGCACCACTCTCTTCTTCCAATTTCTTCACATATGCTTTCAATGTCATGACTAAATTTCTCGCCGGTGCCTGCAATGTCCCCACCACCGACGTCGCAGGTCCCTTCAAAGAACCCAATAACTTGGCGTAAACCTCTGCTCTCGACGGCATAGTCTCCAACGCCTTAAACTCCTCCGGCGGATAATACTTCCCTTCAAAAACCGCACCACTAAAATCATTTTCCTCCAACTTCTTCTCTTTCTGGAAACTCCGGTAGGGTTTAATGGCAGCTGGGATCTCCTCACTATGAACAAACATCCACGCATTCATCCCCTTCATACACGGCTTCAATGCTTCCCATTGCGTGCCCTCAATCGCTTTTAAAACCAACGTGTTCTTGGCGACAATGAGTTTCGTGGTTTCCGGGAGGGTTGTACGGAGCTGCTGGAATTGTTGGACGGTGAAGCCTTTGTATTTGATGCCGGCGATGAGGTGGCAGTCTTGGAGCTGTTCTTTGACTGTTTCTATAGTTTCTTCTTTCTTTGTACGGCTGATTGCAGAGCGGACAGTCAGGGACAGTCGGTTGGGTTTACGGTGGGCAGTGGTGGTGGAATGGAGGATGAGGGGGTTGTGGAAGTGGGTTTTTAAGGACACGGCGGTGGAAGACGGTGGCGGAAACTTGGAGGACGGGAGAGTGAAGAGGGTCGCTTCCATTTTTCTATTGATTGGGGAGGAAACGGAGGACGGTGTAGGATTTGTACTGGTACTACCTTATCTCTTTCATCGTCGATTTTGCATTTTGTAAACGACGTCGTACTACCTTATTTCCTTCTGAAAATAGCAATTTACTATATTTAACTTCAGAGTAAACTACAAAATTGGTCCCTAAGGTTTATCAAAAATAACACTTTTTATCCCTATAGAGTGATCATCATGTTCGTATGTGGATCAACTGTAAAGGAAATTTCATCTGGTTTCTACGTGCTCAGACTGTACCGACTCCCGATCTATAAAGATACAATTTTAAACACACTATCATGTGTCAATATTTGATTAAACACATCATTGGATCCAATTGGGTTTTAATCTGAAAAGTATACTGATTTAATTCTGTAACCAAAATTTATTTTTTGTTGTGTTTAAGCAGTTATAAAATGCTTTAAAACCCGACAAGTGCTATTATATGTTACATAAAAGATGGAGAAGTATTTGGTAAAATGTAAAGATGGAGAAGTATTTGATATTTTAGAGAAAATTAAGTTTTATTTTGAGAGTATATTGGTAAAATATAGGCTTGTTCCACTTTATTCCATAAGGTGGGGGTGGAACACATCTGCTTCACTTTGTTCCACTTGGTTCCTATATATTTCACATAAAATTCATGTCAAACATGGAACAATTATTCTTATTCTGTTATGTTTTATTCTGTCATGTTCAGGGTCTGTATGACAATTGCTGAATGGTTTGGTACAGAATGATTAAGTGGTCAGAAACTCAGAATGATTAAGAGACTCTCATGATATAGTGCAAAATGAAATATAATTGTTTGGTAATTGTGTACAATGAAATTAAGGTTCTTAATGGTTAAGGAAGATCCAAGATACAAAATCATTCAGAGGGCTTTAGAATCATTAAGAAACATATTTTTTTTCCCCAAACAAGATTAACCTCTTAACGATTCAGAGGTTGCCTCTTAATGAAACTATTAAGAGGCAAACAAACAACCCCTCAATGTACCAAAGACACTTATCAATACGCTACATTGGGGTTGTTTGTTTACCTCTTAATAGTTTCATTAAGAGGCGAACTCTGAATCGTTAAAAGGTGATTCTTATTTGGCAAAAAAAAGTCTATATCTTAATGGTTTCAAAACCCTTTGAATGATTTTGTATCTTGAATCTCCCTTAACCATTAAGAGTCTTAATTTCATTGTACACAATTACCAAACAATTATATTTCATTTTGCACTATACCATGAGAGACTCTTAATCATTCTGACTACTTAATCATTCAGCACGACACCATTCAGCAATTGCCAAACAACCCGTAAAAACATAGGATTATGATGTTAGGATTTTTCCAAACAGAGGACCAAATTTGTAACGTTTACAAGCAATACGTAAAATATGCATATTTGAAAATAGTACAAGGACTACTTTTAATTCAATCGACAAAAAGCTAACTCTACTCCAATTATATGGATTTTTAGTTCTTACGTGAGAGAACTGGTTCATAGAAAACCCTAGTCAGTATATAGAGATCATCGATTCGTCAAACAGTTGATTGATAGTTCCTTCGTTCAATCAATTCGATCAATATTCTCGTACATACACAAAGTTAGGATACTAAAAGTTTGAATTTGTGCTGCTTTAAGAGGATGCCTCCGAAACAATCAAAAGCGGATTTAGCGAAGAAGCAGAAAATTGTGGAGGACAAGACATTTGGGCTTAAGAACAAGAATAAGAGCAAGAATGTTCAAAAGTACGTGCAATCGCTTCAGCAGAACGTACAACCTAAACCCGATGCTTCCAAGCTTGCAGCTAAGGTATGGCTTTAATTTTTTTGAATTGCGATTGGTTGTTTTGATTTTAGTGAACATGGGAGGGTTAGTTGATTATAATCGGGTGTTGATTGATTTTTTATTTTCAATTAACAGAAAAAGAAAGAGGAGGAGAAGGCTAGAGAGAAGGAATTGAATGACCTGTTTAAGATTGCTGTTGTTCAACCGAAAGTACCTGTTGGTAGGTTCTTAGAATTTATAACAATTTGATTTCTTTTTATTTGCGCAAATCAATGTTTTAGTTTATTGATCAGTGCTGGATTCAATTCTTTGAGGATTATTTATGTATATGATGTTACAAGAAGATGATTGTATCGAATTGGGTTTACAAGAATTCTTTATTTTGTCATATTTAGAAAATAGTCGGACCATTTTCTGTGCTAAGTCAAACTTGACATGATATGTTTTTTTACTTTTTGGAGAAGCAGTTGCTAATTATAATTTGATAAGTAGCTCCATTACAAATACAACTCATATAGTAATGGTGGAATTGAATTTGGTACAATTTTTTTATCAACTTTACATTTACAAAAAATGGAAGTGTAGCTCTTTTGAGCAAAAAGTGTATATATTTCTTAGGTATCAGGCCTATAATTGTTTAAGGTTGTTTGATCGCAAGATAACCCTTTGCTACCTTTATGACTATATGGTATAATGACTGGGTTGAACGTTCTAGTCGGTCACAAATTTTTAGTACTAATATTGTACGAAATAGGTGTACCATGTGAAAAGGTGTGTTTTACAATATGATCATTCGTTTCTTGTGGATGTAAATTCAAGCGGTAAGTCAGTAACTACTTACCACATTTTTCCCACCAATGTTAGTATCTTGTTGCATCATTATAGTTGTCTGTATTTATTTAAGCCCGTTCAACAATGTAAAACAGATTTGAATTTTTGGTACCATGGTTTTTTATTATCTATCTGAAAAGTTGTGGTTTCCGATCAGGGGTTGATCCAAAGTCCATATTGTGCGAGTTCTTCAAGGCTGGTCAGTGTGCAAAAGGCTTCAAATGCAAGTTTTCTCATGATCTGAATATACAGCGGAAGGGTGAGAAGATTGACATTTTCAGTGATAAGCGTGATGAAGGTATTTATTGCTTCAAGTTATTGCATCAGTCACTATTATTTTGTAATCTTGACTTGATATGGATTGTAAGTATTTTTGATCTGCAAAATGCTTCTAGGAACAATGGAGGATTGGGATCAAGAAACATTGGAGAAGGTTGTGGCATCAAAAGGGAAAGAGTACAACCAGAATAAACCGACTGATATTGTATGCTCTTTTAGTCTCTTTAACCTTTTCCAGCTATGGTGTTATTATTTACGAGCCAGTTTTCTATCATAGTCGAATGTCTTTGTAAAATAATATCAGACAAGTAGCTTCTAAATCATTGCAATAGTCTCTTGACTTAAAATCCAATGATGCTTATCAATTACTACCTTATTCTACGAATCATTTGCACCTGTCACCATTTAAGAGCTTTGTGTTAAAAAACTTACCTTTGACTGAGTGGGTGCATTATGGCTTGTTGGAATTGATCCACCGCCAGATTAAGAGCCATTTGTTCAAAGAAATCTAACACTAATAGTTTATTCCTCATTGATGATTATGATATGGCACACGTCAACAACGAGTTTTGAAGGTTCCTTGGGGTTTGTGCTTTTGAATCTCATGAGCATGACTTAAAAATTCATGATTTAAGAAGATATTTTAGCTGTTGTAATTTTTTTTGTAGATAGTTTGTTAAAAGAAAGATTGAATACATTGTCGCAACTCGCAAAGACACATGATGTTGTAGCGACTGCCAGTGGCAAAATGATTCACATTCCTCCAATAATGATTCATAAAGGTTCTGGAACCAATACCGAAAGAGTACGACAACAAACTACCTAGATTGTTTAGTTTTTTGTCTCCAAAATCTTTAATCAGTCTGGGGTTCTCAAGGTTTCCATAAATCACAATGCATTCAGAAGAAAGAAAATATGCATTGCACATTGTTGTTCGTCGCTCCCTTAGTGTGTGCCTTGAATTTGTGATTGATTCCCCCTCCCTCTTTGCATTAATTTAAACATGATGTGTTAACTACAGAGTCTAAATTGGACCGTGCACCAGTTTACAACCTTTTCACTTATCTAAATTTTGTAAGCAAATAGTTTTGCATTTAGGATGACAGTTTGGCTGTCTTCTCCATGCTGTATGATTTTTCTTCTTATGATAGGAGCTAGTTTTTTTCTATTTATTATTACTGAATTTATGAGACAAAACAAAGTCCTAGCAACCGCCATGGATGTCAGCAGATTGCTGAACCATGTAGCTACTTCATTGTCAATCTTCTGTTTCCTGCAATTTATTATTTGTTGTGTGTGGTTGTTGTTCCTAACACTGAAGTTTTTCCTTTTATTTTTTCTTCTGAGCTGTTAAAGCAAAAGATGGAAGTTGTGTACGATTGGGTCAATGGAATCAACAAAGATATTATTTGATTTCTGTTGATGACATTTCTGCTCCATTGTCTAAATCAGATCCTTGTTTATCTTTGCCAATGTTTCAGGACAGTTGTAGGAATCATAGGCATTGGTGCCTAGTCAGGTGCTACTTTTTCTACCTTATAGTGATGAATGTTGATTCTATATTTTAAAGTACAACAAAGATACAAAATCATGAACCCTTTTCATAACTAAAATCCTCCATGTTGGTTTGCCTTTCCTGTAATCTGAACAATGCCTTTGATTATTCTTGTATAAACTTGTCTTTGATTTTGTTTTCATGCAAAATACATGAAGAGAAATTGGGTCAATGTTTATGGAGTTATGATTGCCAGCCGGGGGTTTTCATGGAAACAACTGCTCTGCACTCTGGGGTAGAGGATAGGTTTGCGTACACCCCCCCTCAGACCCCACCTGCATATACTAGGCTCGTTTGGTTTATGAAGTTATGGCTCAAAGATGATCTATGACATTTAAAACAAAATGATGATTGTGTGTTGTCAATAAAGTTAATTACTTTGCCTATCTATGTTTCTGAATTTCTTGGCAGTGGCCTTGAAATTATGTTAATTGACTCCTTATGAATTCGTGAATAGGTTTGCAAGCACTTCCTTGAAGCAGTGGAGAAGAAACAATATGGCTGGTTCTGGGTTTGTCCCAATGGTAACAAAGAGTGTCATTACAGGCATGCTCTCCCTCCAGGTTACATTCTGAAGTCACAAATGAAGGCACTTTTAGAAGAAGAAGCTAACAAGCTAGCTATTGAGGATGAGATTGAGGATCAGGCGAGTATTGTTTTCACCCAATCTTTTTTTTGGCAGTCTCATTTATTTTGGCCATTTAACACTTTCATTTTCTGGGTTCAATTTGTATTGTTTGAGGAGAAACAAGGATGTGGTTGTGGGTCCTACTTATTTGAAATGAGGAGAAATGGAGATGAGACCTGTGAAATGGAGAAAGGAGGAAAATGGTATTCCCCTTCGTTCTCTATTTATTGTTCTTCTTTGACTTTGAATGTCAAACTTGTTTTTAACAAAATTGTGATTATGTTCTATTTTTCTGCATTTCAATATTGATTCCTTTTGTTTTTACCGTACTTATCGTACATTTTTATTTAATTATTGAATTCGTTAATCAAAAGTTCACTTATGTTCATTTACATTCCAAAATTGATGTAACTTGTTTGACATTCAAAGTCAAAGTAGGACAATTAATAGAAAACGGCGGGAATGTGAAATATTATAAACCATGCTTCATTTATCCTCATCTTTTTCCCCTTCGTCGCACTTGTAACTTTGATCTGTTTTTCAGTTTTTGAAATGTGATTCTTATCCTATCATTTCCATTTTATATTGGAATTTGGTTCTTACTAATGCTTGTTATTCGATTCTTTTAGCGTGCAAAAGTGAAAACTACAACTCCAATGACTACTGATCTCTTTATGAAGTGGAAGAGGAAGAAGTTGGAAGAAAGAGATGCTGGCCTGGCTGCTCAAAGAGCAGAGAGGGCTAAGAATGACCGCATGAGGTTTGTTTGCTCGTGTCACATTATGCATTTTCCTAGACATGTCATTGATAGTCTTCATTAGAGCTGTTCATGGGAAGGATAAAGTGGCCCTGGACAACTATTCTCGAAGAGATGGGTGGGCCTGGACTGACTTGTTCAAAAATGGGCATGCATGGCGTTGCAATTTTTTTTTGACAGGCCTGCCCGGTCTGATAAAATTTTATAAATTAATTGAATATTATAAATAAAATTAAAAATTCTGGATGCTTCTCTTGATTGTGATGACCCTTCGAGAACCTAGAAACATAATTACCTCTTTTCATCAATTCCCACTTAATTCCTATTTTCCTCTACCTCTTCCCACTTCCCAATTCCCAATTCCCACTTCTCGTTTATGTTAATATTGTTTTGGTCGTGAAATATTTGGTTGTTGAAGAATTTGAACTTTGGAAGTTAATAAATCTTTGTGGAGGAAATGTCCATATTCTATATTTTGCGAACCTGTGTTTTTCTTAACCTATGTACATTGTTATGTTTTTATGTCTTATTCAAGTTGGAAAGATATTATGTATTTTGAGTCATTTTACGTAAGGTCCGTCAAAATTCTAAAAAATGTAATTTTTTTGAATTATTTTACCTAACTTGTGAAGACTCTTCATGGTTGTGCAGTGGTCGCGAGTTGTTTCTTTCTGATGCTAGTGTGTTTGTGGATGATGCTGAGGCTTATGAGAAGTACAACCGAGAAGAAAAGGTAGTCAAACTATTGCATTTTTCATACATGAACCATTTATGTTGCTTGTTGCTGGTTCAGAATGTCACTATATACCTAATGATTAGTGCAATCTTAATATGCCCGGGAGTACGGAATTCATAAAGAAGCATTCCCGGACAAGATGTGAAGTGGGTGGGCCCGCCAGTAGTGCTTTGCTCTCCTCTCCCCCCCCCCCCCAAAAACCCAAAGAGAGCAAGGTGTTTAAGAACAGTATTTTTTATATTAGCTCTAGTTGCAGAGATTAAGGTAAAGGCCTGAAGCTGTAACTATACAAAGTTTGCAGATTATGCTAAAAGAGGTGCAATATATAGCCTATTTTTCAGTATCTATGCTGACCCTTTTTATATGTTATGTGCTGGAGTATAGCTTTCACCTTACCTTGCACCTCTCTTTAAGTCCCATGACTCCCATGTGCTTTGCTCTAGTTTGCGCTTAAAAATATATATATATATATATATATATATCTATATCTATACTATATTAGTAAGCATTTAGACTAAAAGTCTTAAATGCAACCTATAAATCCCAAAGTACTACCCTTTTATGCATAAATTTCAAAAATCTCTTAATTACAACTTCACATGCATAAGGTACAATTGTTGATGCACACCACCAACAACATCCAAGTTGAAACTTACAACTTTGCTTTATTTCTTTCCAACTTTTTTCCTTCCTTTTTAAGAGCTTTCTTTCTTTCTTTTTTTGGTATCTTCACATCATTCTTTATTCATTCAAACTTTTTTTAGCTATTTTTAGCTCTCCTTTGCAAAAAGGTGGATATTGGTTTCTATTTCGGTTTGTATAAGATAATTTATTTATTTTTTAAATGTATTCACTAGATATCTGTTTTTTTCTTCATTATAATTATTTAGGGGCTGTTTGGCAGTTGCTGAATGATTTAGTGCAGAATAGTTAAGAGGTCAGAATGGTTAAGTGCAGAATGAAACAAGGTTGTTTGGTAATTGTTCTCTGAATGACAACAAATTACCATTTTAACCCTTAACAAATTTCAGAATTTTCCCCAAATTTGGCTACTCAATAGTTATCACTAGGATCAGTTCTTGGCCTCTCTCTCTCTCTCTATTTCGATGATGACCACCACCAGTGACCAACAAGAGCAATTTTGGTAGGGTGGTTTTACCAACTATGAACCCTCGATTTTATTTTTGGGTTCTATGATTTGATTTAGGGTTTCACTCACTTTTGGATTTGGGTTATGTTTTTCCTGGATGAGACGCTACCGATTTCATTGATGGGATTATATGGAGTGAGAGAAGGAGATGAAGGATTGTCGCCGTCGGAGAAGGATTGTCGCCGTCGGAGAAGCAGAGGCGGGCCTAGTCGCCGATGCCATTGTCGGAGAGAGGGAATGAAAAAGGAGGCAGGTCTGTGAGATGGAGAGATTGGCGAGATCGTTTGGGAGGAAGAACGATGCGTGGGAGGAGGGGGAACGATGATGCTGGAAGGAGAGGAGAGGAAGGCGACCGGCGATGGAGACTGTGGAGGTCACCGGCGATGGAGACTCGTGAAGGCGACGTTAAGGGAATGCAACGGCTGGAAGAGTGGTGTGGAAGGGTAAAGAGGGAACAAATCCAATCTGAATGGTTTAGTGAGGTAGTAGATGCAAAATGGTTAAGAGGTTATTGTAACCATTAAGAGGGTTGTTTTTTTTTGCCAAACAGACCTAACCTCTTACCGATTAAGAGGTTGGCTCTTAATGTAACCATTAAGAGCCAAACAAACAGCCCCTTAGACAACATAATTGATTTTCATGTCTATGTACAATAAAATTCACCTTGATTCCTTATTTGTTACATTGTACTTGATTACATCCTGTTGTATCACACGGGTGCTCCACTATAAGGAATCGAGGTTTAAATATTTCTAAGGGTTCCCTGTAAGATCGAATGTTTAAATATAAATTTTGTACTTTTTAATGAATAGTTGCACTCATTTTTAGTTGTAGGCTTATTTGAAAATTAGACATCCCGCCGTATTACGCGGGTACACAACTAGCGTATATATATATATATATATATATATATATATATATATATATATATATATGCTACCATGCTGGGTGTGGAAGTAACCAACTTGTGTTTCCAGCCCCTACTGAACCCTCATTCTAGGTTACCGTTTTTGGGGGTTCAACCATTCAGCAGGGTGTGAACTAGGTGCCACTTTGATCGTATCGCCAAATTATTGACTGTGGACATGGGGATATGGCTGGTCTCTCCTTTGGAAAAATGGAAGTGAAATGCGTAAATTATAAATTTTAGAAGTAATGATAAAAGTTAAAAATCTTCAGTTGGAATCCCTCTTGTGCTGGTGAGAGAGAGAATGAGGTGGAGGATGATAACGAAACAAATTTTTTTTCCTAGATAGGTTAGACTATTGTGGGTGCACCTAGTAAATAAGAGGACCATGCAGGCTTAAGCCAAGTATGTGTTTACTTTATAAATTTTGTGTGTGAATTATAAATATTACTTCTTGATTTTGTTTGGTTTGATTTTTGGACTTATATTTTACATCCACACTCATTATATGTACGTGAATGTTTATCTTGTAACTTTTTAGAATTGCCTAATCCTGAAATCCACGTGTCACAAACTTGTTTCCTTGCAACATTATACTAATAGGTTAATGGCTTGGCATCTTGGGTAACCGGATGCTTCCTCCGTGTCATGAAAATTACAATATATTCATTTTTTGGGCAAACTTCCAATCGAGGATTATGTATTCACCTGTCATCATGGCAACTGGTTTATAGACCTGGTTTTGGTGCACAAGATTCACCTATTGTCATTATTAAAAGGCGTTTTAGACATTTGGGGTGTTCTTGGTATGCAGATGGGACTGGACATATGAGAGTGAGGTAGGCGGGTGAAATAATTGTAGAAGGTTTTAGGGTTTTATTTGACATGTGTAGTTTAGTAATTTACCAATATATGTCCCATCTTGATTTTTGTTCCACCTAATTTGGTGGGACGAAGAAAATGCATTTTGTCCAATTGAGGTCCTGTTCTGTGTGTCAAAAAAATCTACATATGGGACAACCCATTTTAAAAGGGGATGATGCTACTCCATGGAATCCTCATTATCATGCCTTATGTTGAATTGCAGGCACAAGACGGTTCATCTACAGGCGGACCAAGCACGTCCACAAGCATAGCTGCTGTTTCTGAAGACGGGAATTCTGAAATTGATGAAGACGATGATGATCTGGATATGGATGAATTGAATGAACTAGAAGCAAGCTTGTCTAAAACATCTATCCAAATTCAAGAGCCCAGAAAATAGGTCTCGGTTTGCATTTGCAGCAGGGAGAACTTGGAATAGAGGTTATCCAACTATCTCAATTTATCTACTCAAGTTGTACCCCCTTTCGTTCGCTCGTTCTAGTTTTGATTCAGGTCTCGCATGCTTTATAAAAATGTGCTTGGTTGTCCAAATATATGATAACATCCAAAAATGTTCTTTTTTGTTCTTCCTTTTTCCATAGTTTCTTGTTGAATTTCATAAACTTGGTTTATTGCTCATGTTGTCTGCATTCTATTGCTTGATTTTGAACCACATATTCATGTATCTCGTGTTTGAATCCAGACACCATTCACACCGTTCTTGATGGCTGAGGGACCAATGCAGTGGGGGCTGTCCCGAGGTTGTGTATTTGTATGCCCTTGTGCAAAATTATGAGCCATAAGGTAAGAAAAATAAAGACCAAGGGGCCATTTACCAATGCTCACCGGATAAGATTCACGATCCTCACGGTAAGTGAGATGGTGACTTTTACCCGGTTAACGTCTCTTGTGGATCCGTTTAAAGGCGAGTCTACTACGCATCTGAATGCTCGTACATTCAGAGACTTGACAAATGCTGAAAAGTCCAGGGACCTTGAAGCCAAGCCATTCACCAACACTTGGTTTCAATGATTCGCCAAATGGAAGAAGATGCTTGCACTATGCTGCATGTTATGGCCACTCTCATGGTCTTGAAACCACTGTTTCCACTGCATTTAACATGCCTGTCAGGCATGTGTGTACTAAGTGTGTGTTTATCAAACTCTTACCGGGTAAGTGCTTCTTGGTCGTCGTTTAGGGGCTGTTTAGCAGTTGCTGAATGATTTGGTGCAGAATGATTAAGACGCTCTCATGATATAGTGCAAAATGAAATATAATTGTTTGGTAATTGTTTACAATGAAATCATTCAGAGAGTTTTAGAACCATTAAAAGCTAGACTTTTTTTTTTTGCCAAACAAGATTCATCTCTTAACGATTCAGAGGCTGCCTCTTAATGGAACTATTAAGAGGTAAACAAACAACCCTTTATCATACCGGTGAGAATGGCCAAGGATCGAGAATTTTATCCGGTAAGAAGCATAAATCTTACCTGGTAAATAATAGAGAAAACTCTTACGCGGTAAGCGTTTAACATGTAAAAGATGCTCACTGCAATCCATTTTGATGGTCGAAAATGTTACCCAATAAGGTAAACGAGGGTGTCGACTCTTGTCGTTAAGCATTTAAATGTAAACGTTTGATAAACAACCTCGAAGTGTCGAGAATGGATTGGTGTCGAATATGAGTAAATTACAAAAATTGTCCCCGACGTTTATAAAAATGCTTTTAACTTTTCGTAACTACAAAGACAACTATCAAGGTTTCATTTTTGTTGCGGTTTTGGTGTGTGGCCATTAGCCATTGCCGTTAACATTAAGTGAGAGCATCTTAGTCATTAAAAATATTTAGGGGTGTTTACGATCGAGTTTAAACCGTTTAATCCCCTAAACCATAATGGCAGGTTAGGAACTTTTCAAGTCGAGCGGTTTTCAGACTGGATTTGACTGGACCGGACTGCCAGATCACTCAAACCACCAGAAACGGCTAATTTCTACTTATCCAATCTTCAATTCTGACACAATCGTACATTTTTTATATTTTATTCATGATCCAATACAATCTCAAAAATTATTTTATAAAAATTATACATCTAATATTTTAATATATAAAGGAGGTTTACTTTGCAAACCATGTTATTTGTATAAACCTCATTCAACCAATCATAATTTTTCATTTTGTTCATTTTTTTTGTAATTATGAGAGATTGATTAATCATTGATATTATCATCTTTATTATATTAATTTTAGAGAAATACATGAAACAGTTTTATTAAAATTTCATAACTATTGTATGAAACAATTTCATAACTATATATGAAATAACTTGATCAAAAAAGTATTATGTGAAACAATTTCATAAGATTAAACAATTTTTAATGAAAAGTTTTCATTAACTTTGGAATTTTTTTTTTGTTGATTCAACAAATATGGACAATTGTTTAATTTTATGAAATTATTTCATATAATATTTTTTTAATGAAGTTGTTTAATATATAATTATAAAATTTTAATGAAACTGTTGGATTGGATTGATCGGATTTTTATGCACCCCTTTTTCATACTTTTTTTTTTTTCGTGTTATATAAGCAATAACCCAAAAATATTTTTATTATAACAAAAAGGTTTTTTTTAGATTTTTTTAGGATCTCATATTTTTATTTTTTATCATCAGTAGTATTATTTATAAAATTCAATGTAATAAAATTAAATATCATTTATTTAGTTATGTATTTATTATTTTTAATTATTAAAATATACTAATACAATAGTTTAATTATTTATATCTTTATTATATTACATACGTTTTAGTTTTATTTTTAGATGTTATTAAATTTATTAAAATGATAAAACAAATTTGAGTAAAAGTTACCATAAATTTGTAGATGTATATATATATATATATATATATATATAGACATTTGAGATCAGGTGAGAACAGTCTGTTTTTGTGAAACCTATGAGATCATTTTTTTTATACTTGAAACTTCATGAGAAAACACTGTAAAGATAACCTTCACAATGTTTTTGCTGTGAAAGTGCAGATTTTATTTACCTTCATAATGTTTTATTATATATATATATATATATGTGTGTGTGTGTATATATATATATATACACACACACACACACTCAGACTATATTATAAAATATTTTACAAAAACTCTTAAAAATCATCTTTATACATGAAATACTGTTTATTGATGTATATCACTTAAAATTCAAGATTACAAGTAAATTGTGCATAATACAACTATTAAAGCTACATGTTTGAATCTATGTAACAAACTGCAGATAAAAATAAAGAAATATGGGATAAACATTTCATTTAAAATATAAAAAATCTAAATATAATTAGGATAATTATTGAGTTCAAACAGAATACTTATTATAATCTTTATAAAAAATATATTATTAAATCAAAAATAAATTACTTCAATACCAAATTTTAATAAAAATTTAATTAAAGAAATTACATAAAAACGATAATATATAAAACCATATTATATCAACGGAAACAAAGAATAAAACGAAACATTAAAATAGACATGTATCTCGCTGCATTGTACGAGTACCTTCTTGTATACATACATACATATATATATATATATACATACATACATATATATATATACATACATATATATATATATACATACATATATATATATATATACATACATACATATATATATATACATACATATATATATATATACATACATATATATATATATATATACATACATACATATATATACATATATATATATATACACGAATGATCGTATGAGAAGAAGAGTTAAGATGAAAACGTAAGAAGGGATCTGGACTCTTGATCACCTTTAATCTCAAAACCTCACATGAATCGCATTTGATATGAGGATTGATCCGGTGCATCATGTCTTAGTGTTCATCCAAGGATGAAGATCTATTCTTACGCGTCCCACCTTAATTCTCTTTCTCACTAGAACCCATTCCAGTAAGAAGGAGAGTTAATGTGAGAAACGTAAGAAGAAATCTGGACCCTTGATCACCTTTAATTTCATTCCAGTGAGAAAGAGTTCATTTATTATATATTAAGAAACAATCGAGATATTTATTAAATCAAATATTCATTAGACTAGATGAACAATTGAGATTGTTTGTATGATTTGTACTAATTAATGATCGAGTTCGTCATATATATGACGTTAATCAAATGAGAACTATAAAAAAAATTATAAGTCTATAAGAACCAATATAAAAATTATTTTTTTTACATTTTTAATCAAAATTTTATGATTTTAACTATCAAGTTATAAAACAATACCTAAAATTTCATATAAGAACAAAATGTTTTTTTTATTAATCTGTATATCCAACTCGCTATGCGAACCGACTAATCACAGAGCGATCATATACTTTGCAGATAGCCCGGATCACGCATTTGAACCTCCGTGGCCACAAGAGGATTTTTATTCCTTCTTGGATTTGAACATAAGACCTCCTGGTACTTTTGATCTTTGTAGTCAAGCTCAAACCAATCAGGCACCACCCTTGTGGTTACAAAATATTTGTTTTAGCTAAAGCCCGTAACTTAGTGAACATAAAAAAAAAACTTAATAGAGTATTTGATGTGACTTTAATTTTATAAGACTGAATTATATCGATTATCATATGTTTGTTTTAGAATGTGAGTAACTTTTATGTGCTTGTACAACTAAAAAGTTTTACATTGTGAACCAAATACATATGAAACAAACAAATTGTGAAACAAATGTATGTTAATTAATATATTAAATTCTACACTTAAATTTAAAAATTTATGTAAAATAATATCTTATGATAATAGTTCTCACAGTTATCACACTATATGAGATTTATATTTGATTATGTTCATATATATGTTCATATGTATACACACACATAAGGGCATAAATCAAACTCATATGAATCACATTTTATATGAAGGATACTCAACGGTTTGCACTTACAATGTTAGTGGCAGAAATCAAACTCATAAGTTGTGACACCCCAAAATGAGATAAATAAATAAATTAGAAAGCAAAAAGAATAAGGAAAATAAAATAAAATAAGTTTTATTTTATTGGAAAAAAATAAATAATAAAATATAAACATATTTGAAAATCAGATTAAAAATGAAGGAAAATGTCATATTAGAGGTGAATTGTGTAAAGATGTCAAAAGTAATAAAGTCAGGGGGTCGAATGTATTTTTATGAAAGTTAAGGGGTTGGTCCGATGTTAACAGGTCCAAACCAGAAGGACCTGTTATGTAAATATACATCAGATCTGCAAATTCAGAAACGCGAAAACGACCTCTCCTTTGAAGATTTATATCAGTTCGAATCGTCAACTATTAAGACAAAAAAAAGAACAGATATATGTAACCAACACTTTTCTCTACACTTTGGCTTCAAGAAAACCGAAGTTTCATCGAGTTTCGAAAGAGAAATCGGAGGTTAAAATTCGAGTTCGAAAAGCTCCGTTTATTGACGTTTGGAGGTAAAATACTCAATCAAATTTCAAGTTCTTTATATGGATGACTTTGTTTTTAGGTCCTCTATGAAACCTTAATAGTCTTATGTCTTAGATTTTAGTTTTGAATGTTCAATTTTGAGTTTTTTTTTCCTGATTTTCGAGTGATTTTAAGACCATAACTTTAAACGGGCGCATGAGACTCAATACTTGATGGTTTTCGTTGATTTTTGTTTCTATGGTTGAGGAAAATCATTTTCTAGAGATTTTGCAAAAAAAATATAAAAAACGATGAAGGAACAAGGCCAAACGGCCTGTTTTTCCGGCTGCCAATGTGACCACATTTGCTGCTATTTGGTGGCTGATTATTGGTCTGTTGGGCCACGTTTTTTTTGGGATTTCTCTTTTATTTTACTAATGTTGGGCCAAATATATTTAGTGGACTATATTTTAGGCCCTTATTGTTTTAACAAAAGAAGCCTATATTTTTTTGGGCTTAATTTGAGTACTTAAGTTATATAATTTTATGAATTGATCCAAATTAATAAATTTCAGATGTAGTTAATTAATTTATATTAACTAATTAATTTAATTTCTAAATTAGTTAATATATTAAACTGAATTAGTATTTAATTAAAATTTAGTTAATTTATTTTTGAATATTAATATTAGTTTTCT